ACTGTTCTTTTTCCTTCTTTGAATCGTCTATTTGTCTTAGTCTACTGGGTTGCCCTAACAAAATACTGTAGATTTATGGCTTAAACAACAGAAGTTTATTTTCCCACATTCCTGGAGGCTGGGAAGCCTGAGACCAGGGTGCTGGCAAAGTGAGTTCAGGTGAGGCACTTTCCCTGGCTTGCAGAGGGCCATGCTCTTGCTTTGTTCTCACATTATGGAGGCAGGCACTGGCCTCTCTCTCTTCTTCTCAGGGCATTCACCCCTCATGATGGTGAGACCTCCTCTAACTCCAACTACCTCCCAAAGACCCGTCTCCGAGTACCATCACAGTGGGAGTCAGGGCTTCAAAATATGAAATTTTGAGGGAAAAAGGACACAAATTAGTCCATACAGTATCTTTTCTGGGGTCACTATTGTCACAAGAGATGCTACCAGTGCCTCAGTGCATCCTACTTGCTCTTGGGATGGACAGACACCTGATACACCCACAGGCTTATCAGCTTTTGTGGGACTTTTGTGGAGGAGGGGACTGGCCCATCATGGTTCGGGTCCTTGCAGGCTTCCTGCATGCCTGCAGAATCTCCATGTCCCATCATGGCAGGGGTGCAGTCAGATCCGGTGGGCTCTCATTCTGTCTCTAGGACTTCCTGGTCATGGTCCTGGCGTGTTCCTTCCTACATATGCACCTTAGTTTTCGCTTCTGTAAAGATGGCACTGCTAGTGCCCATTCATAGGCTGCATGCAGATTTAAAGTGATAATGCCTACTCAGGAACTCTGTGTCCTGCCTGCAGTGTGCCAGGAACTTTGTAAGTGGTAGGGACTGTGACCTCCTGAGACATGGCCGGGAGCCCTTCCCAACAGTCTTGCAGGTGGTGGCTCCATTAGTGGATTTAGTTGAAACCAGTCTGTATTCTTGTTCTGGGTTACCAGTCTTGCCTTCTAGTAGCACTTGGAAGTTAAGAGGCGATGCTGAGGCTCATCCTTTGGCCCTTTGGCCTGTCCTGACTGCAGTTCCCAGCCCCTGGTATCTCCGTCTGTGGTTTTCAGAGGCTGCTGCGTCCCTGGCTGGGTGTGCTCTGGTCCTTCCATCAGCCAGATGTTGCCTCTGTCCGTTTTCTTCTCCAGATTAGTGAGAAAGAAGAGAAGCACATTCCTGAATGGTGGGATGCTTTAAATTAAACATGTGATTAGGTGATTTAATTTCCTTTCCACTGCTTTTCCTAGTTTCTCTCAGAGTAAATGGGATTCTCAGCATCCTTTTCCTGAGTCTACCCAGGACAGGACACTGGGTGGTGATGACGGCAGTGGGTGGTGCCCTTTCAGGACATTTTGGATGGGTGCCCATCTCCTGTCAGCCTCAGGATCTCTGACTCAGCATCTTCTCCCTACTTCCTCCTAGCTCCTCCTGGTTCCTCCTGAAGCTGCCCAATTGCAAGTAACGGGCCTCCATCTACCTGGTGTCTCAGGCTAAAGATCAGGTGTCTCCTAGAGCCCTCTCTTCCCTTTCCTTCCTAAATCCAAGCCATCAGGTTTGTCTCCAGAATCCAGTCTTAAATCCATCCACTTGTGCCCCCATTGACCCCTGTAGTCTGAGTTGCCACCATCAGTTACCTTTTTGTGGCTGAGCAGGGCCATCTCTTTCGCAGGAGATACCTGCTGAAAGTGTGTCAGGCTGAGTTCCTTGCTTAGACTGTGCTCCGCCACCCCGCTGCTCCCCTTGCACCTGGCCTGATTTGGTCAGAATACCTGCATTCAGAGAAGGTAGATTTTGTGATAGTAAATCTCCACAATTTACCTGATTATGTGGATTGGGGTCATACGGATGCCAACTCTGGTAACTGGTGCAGTTTTCTGCAAACGGACAAGTTCAGTCACCCAGCCCAAGGCTTCAACTGAAAGGTCTAGTGAATGGAAGCTTTCAAAATGGGGATGAAACAGTACAGCTTTTTCCTTCTCCGTGCCTAAAGAAGAGGAAAAGATTTAAAACCTAGAAAAGAAATATATTGTACAGAACACATTAGCCACCAGCCAAAGAGATTTAAGGATGGAAAATTCAACTTGTTTTAGTTTGAGCAAGATATTTTTTTAAACTTGTCCTCCAAGATGGTTTAGGGAAAAATATGTAAAATTTGGATTGATTCCATTTTCCTGCCTGGAATCAGTACTGTAATTTGTAGTGCCTTCTGTGATTCTGTAGAGAAGTGTGCTGAGTAATCAGGGTGTTAAGCATCTTCCTAAGAGACTTCAGGGTTCTTCCAAGGAAAGGCACTTCCTATGTCATGTGTGATTCACGAAGTTCACCTGTCCTGATGTCAGACTACTTTAGCTGGTCAGAGGTGTTAGAGTCGGCCAAGTGTCATTTCATGAAATTAATGCCAGGTAGATCATGCATGTATGGTGCAAGTGACTCATTCATTTGCTAGTGATCCCAGAAAAAAGGTAAATCTAAACTTGCCTGAGCAAAAAAGGCATTTGTTGTTGTAACTGCAGAATCCAGGGTGTAGCAGGCTTCAGGTAGAGGTGTGTGGCCTCTGACATCTCTCTCTCTCTCTCTCTCTCTCTCTCTCTCTCTCTCTCTCTCTCTCTCTCACCTCTTTGCTGTCTCCTTCCTCTTACCTCATCCTCCATATGTTGGTTTCATTCTCCAGCTCACGGCTGCAGAACTGCCTATAGTGCTGGGCCTCCAGCCCTCCAGGTTCTACTGCATCAAAAATGAGAGCTGTTCCTTGTTAGTGGTTAACCCATGTGTCCCTGTGGACACTCTGGTTGGACCCAACCAGATCATGGGTCCATGCTAGAAGCCATCCTTCATGGCCAGGGGGTTGATAGTATGCAACTCAGCTGGTCCTGCATCACAGACTCACCTAAAGCTGGAGTGGTTTCAACATCACCTATGTGCTACTTGGACGGATTCTAGGGGAAGAGAGCTCCCTAGAGGAAAATCTGGGTTGTGTGAATACAAACCAGCAAGTCCTCAAGTTCTGTCTTTGCAGTCACTCGTCCTCTTCTTCCAAATGGCCCTGCTCTAGCTGCCTCTTCTTCCTCATCACTATAAACAATTTTCCAGGATTTATAAAAGACCAGGTGAAGCGCTTGACAGTTGATTCTTATTGAATCTTCATGGAAACTTGATGAAGTACTACTATGCATTAAGTAGCTTGGGTTTGAACCTCAGCCCGTCCTTCTTTCTCTGGATGTGGCCTTCAGTGAACCTCTTCCTTCTCTGACCCTTAGCACCCTCATCTATCAAGTAGTGTGATGATGTTTTCTCTTAAGATTGTTGTGAGAACCCATGAGCTTGTGTGTGTGTAGCTCAGGGAGCAGGTGTACTTGTTATTCACCCCATTTATCAGATGAGGCAACTATGATTCTATATCTTTTTTCTAGGATTTCACACCTGTAAAGTGGGCCTGGAGCCTAACGAGTCTCTCTCATCCCAAGTTGTTTCTTCAGCACTCCTCTCTCATCAGCTTTCCCTGTTTGCTGTGTCTCACAGCAGGACTCACTGATGTAGACCTTGGTCAGTGTTTTGGATCATGCTGCCAACGCTTGCACCAACTCTTTGCTGTGAGGCTTCTGTGTACCAGACACTGAGCTAGATTCTAAAGAGACAAGTTCAGAAACGTCATTTGACGTGGTGAACTGGGCAACCCTGAGGACAGAGGACTAACTGTGGAATTGGGAGGGGGCCTCTGCAAGAGAGAGACACTCCAAGGACATCTGCAGAGGGGGGCCAGAGCTTGCCAGGTGGGGAACAGGAGGGGTTTGGAGACCTGGCTCTCACTGGGCCTAGGTAAATTTTGAGGAGTTGAGCAGATGCTTCCTGAATGGAGTTGGACCAGTGGGTTTAATTGTCATGAAATTGTTGAGTGTTGGTAACAATGGTTTTTATTGTCCTCGTTTCTATTGTGGAGTAACTTACTGGCTATTTGGTGGTGCAGTCAGGAATCTTGGAAGCCCTGGACGTGTCACTAAGTGGTTGCAGCTACTGAATGTATGGAGTGTGCCTTAAGAGATAGCTTCTTCTACAGAGAGCTTTAAGCATGTATAGTACTAAGATGTGTGTGTGTGCATGTGTGCATGTGTGTATGTGTGTGCTTTGAAAGAAAAGAAAGCAAGACAGAATGCGAGTCACTGAAAATCTTTGTTTGAATGAAAACTTCAAGATTAAATTATTATATTGAGTATGTTATACTGTTAAGCTCACAGTGACTGTCATTAGACTCAAGTTTTATAGTTGTCTCCAATTCACCTCTCCCTTTCTAATCAAAATTCTTAACGGTCTGAGAGACCTGCAGTTAGAGACCATCTGACCAGTTAATTCCCTTCCAGTGTCTGGTGAACTCCGGGAGCGGAACTACACTGGGATGTTTGCAATGACTGGGAGAGGCTGTGGGAGCAATGTGAAAAGGATCCAGATTGAAGCCACCTTTAACCTTGCTACTCAAGTGAGGATTCTGTCTCTTGTTCTACAGTTCAGGATGGCAAGTGACCTGTGCAGAGCAGACCATCCTTCTTTCTGAGTTCAGCTTCACACCCGCTGCTTGTGCTCTCTGGCTGAGGAACTCAGATTCAGAATGGGTATAGTGGAGGCGGACGTTAAGCTCAACCTTCTAACACCAGCCAACACTTACGTAGCACCTCCACTGTACTGGGCACTGCTCCAAGCTCTTTGCATGCAAAAGCCATGTTGTGTTCACTCTTGACAGTATCAGGTGAAGGACGGGAAGAGAGGTCTTTGTTTTTTTTTTTTTCCACTGTGTATGGCAGCGCTCCCAGTGCCAGGGCTTCCTAACGTCTTCTGTATGGTGATCTTTCTTCCTCTCCGGCAATGATCCATTAAGCACAATATTAAGGAGTGCTTGTTAAATGTGCATGTATGTGCTAGGCACTAAATTAAGCACTCTACATGTGAGGTCGTATCAAATTTCCTGTAATCATAATGTAGAAAGATGTTGTGGTTGTCCCTATTTTACAGATGGGGAAACTGGAGCTCAGAGAAGTTAAGAAACTGACTATAGTTATGCAGTAAAGAGTGTGACTCAGGTTCAAGTGGGACCATTCTTGTCCTTCACAGAGTGGCTTCCCTGGTGGTGATGGCCTGCAGACCTTACATCGTTTGTTTTTTTCCCCCTCCAAGCTGTGGTATTGAGGTCACCTTGCTACTCTTAGTGGGGGAGAAAAACCATCCGCAATTGCTATTTATTTATTTCTTTTTACAATTATTTTTTTCCACAGAAACAATTTCCTGTGTTGGTCCCATGTTCCCCAAACAGCATAAACGATTTAGCTACCTGGTGGGCCTCGGCAGCTGCCACTTGTCGACGGGGGAGTTGTGGGGTTGCAGGCATAATGATGAGAAGACTCTGGTGCATGCTGTGTTCCCCCTGGGGGCGGGGAAGAGAACAAGCCCGTCACAAACCCAAGCCACTGACAACTGACACGGCAGCGAATGGATTTCTCCCTTCACCAAGTTCTTGTTCCCTTTTCATTTCCCTTTTTAAAAGTTTAAGCATATCTAATGAGTCCTCCCTCCCTCCAAGACTGTGAAATCTCCTGCATGTTTTGGTTATTCATTCCTATGCGTTGGTTCTTTTGTTTTTATTTTTAGGGGTTTTGAATTTTTTGGCTAGTGGTATGGATAGTTAAGAGGTAAGAGAGAGCTTTATTTTTATATTCTATGCTAACTAACAAAAATCAATGAGGTTATGGGCTCTCTGGCCAAAGCTGTTTTTTATTTTAGTGCTTGTAATGCTGACCATTTTGCTGGCTTTCAACAAATAATTATAATAGTAACCAGCACACATGGTGTGTGTTATTCAGATCCAGTTTTAACTCCAGCATCTTGGCTGATACAAACTTTCCACATCAAGCATCTTGCCAGAAGTGACAAACCTCCTTCCCAGGGTGTATCGGATGTTCACAGGACTGGTGGCCTCCTGCTGTCTTCCTAGTCCCACCAGACCTTCTCTGCCAGGCTTCTTCTGCCCTGCCCCCACAGCATCCTCCTACCCATATGGGTTGTTTTGCTGTTGTTCTTTCCCAGTGCTCCCAGTTTTAAGTACCTCCTTTCCTTGAGAAGCCCTAGCTTGCCCGATAAGACAAGGGTAGCCTCCTGAGACTTCTCTTAAAGAGATTTAACTTGTTCATTTATGTTTCTGAAAGCCCTTGCACATGTTAGAAGTTTCCCTGTACAAACATATGTCAGGGGATGTTTTCTTAGGCCTCAAGACTGTATTTCTTGGCCCGAGGGAAAGTGCAGTCTTTATGCTTTATAATCTGAAATCTGAGATAATCTTGTGTGATCAATAGCTTGTTGGGTTAGTGCAGCCACATCTTCAATACTGTCAACTCCAATTAAAAGTGTGGTTCAGCTTTCCGCCGTTTCCCCTGGTTTCCTTGACCCAGAGCAGGTACCCTGTGCTCAGAGTTGGCAGGAGGGCCCACTGCTCCTTGGCAAGAGGTTTAAGGGTAGCGCATGTGGTGAGTAAGATTAAGGACAGCCAAGAAGCGAAGGGCAGCATTTCCATTGTGATCCTTTTATTGGCTTCCAGAGAGTGGGAAAAAGAGGACCAAGTTTTGATCAGGCACTGAAATAAAACCCCGAATTTCCCCCACTTTTCTTCACAGCTAGTGTTAGTTTCAGACTGTTTGGAGCTGTAGTCCTTGGCTATGTTATGGAGAAAAACTACATGCATATTCTGAGATTGTTTCCCTCGTAAGATAGAAGTTTATTCACCAGTGCTTCTGTTTTAGGGTTTGGGTATATGAACTATTCCTTGGGAACATTTAATTACTATATTCATTGGCCAGAAAAATGGCAGAGCAGGTTCTGAAACAATCATCCCAAAGTTTTAATGAGTGATGTCTTTTTAGAAACAACTGAAATCATTTGAGTCGATATTTTAAGCAATGAGGGGAATAGATCATGGCTGCACCCAAATGTACCCAGTCTGACTAGCTGGTTGGTTGCTCCAATGAAAGCTCAAATCACAGGGGCAGGGGCTTCCAGGGTCTGTGCAGTATGGAAAGGCGGAGAACTGACAGATCTGCCCAGATAGGGCACAGACAAAAGGAATCGCGCCAATGTGGGTCCTGCAACAATGCATCAGGGACAAATCCTTGGATGTTTCCTCCTTTCACAGGAACCTTGCGGCTGGAGAGTTTGGGGATGAGGGGTGTGTGGAGAGCTGAATGTATATTACCTGGGCTTGTAGGGGTTTTGTCTGGGATTATTTAAAAGTCAAAAACCACAGTATGAAGTGGCCTAGAGAGAAAAGTTGATAATTGAAGCATGACTTTATACAGTAAAGCCAGGCAGACTCACATGCACACATCAGCCTGACACTTTTAAAAAAGTTGTCCTGCAGGAAATGAACAAAAATTGGCACTTATTTTTCTGATTGGATTATACATTGAAAAAAAATTATTTTAATTTTAGTCCTTTTTTAAGTGGAGGTGGAAGGGAAATATGTGCATTGAAGAGAGAGTACAGTGATGCGCCTTCACCAGGCTGAGCCAGCCGACATTTCCACTGTGTGTGAAATGGGGATCTATCTTTACAGTATTCACTGCATTGAGCCAAGGAGTTAAAAGGAGCCACACACAAAGGGAAATATACTCTGTAGCTTTGCCCTTTCTGTGTAGGAGTTTGTAATTGACACGCTGTGTGAAAATACCCTCAAAATGGACGTCGGGACCACCATGTGTGGGAATTAGGCAGCTATCTTTGCCCAGCTCATCATAGATGGGAGATCTCCAGGTTTGTCAGTGCCATGAGAAACTAGAAGAATTCTCTTTTCTATGATTTGTTTCCAGTGATGGCTTTACAATGAAAACCCACTTAATAGAGCTGTTTTTATCTTGTAAAAGAAAAAACCAATAACGACTTTATCTCCTAAATAGACCCGATGACAAAATGTATTATTACATTTTGACATTATTTCCTATTACGTGCAATTTGGGGATTAGAATAATTTTGTACCATACCAGGAAAGGAGTGAAGTTTTATTCATGTCTTTAGAGAGTTTAATAAAGGATCTCTCTGCCTTTTTAGGGTCCCACTGTGTCATCGTTCCTGCCTGGGATGAAAATGGAAGCTTGTACCCAGGAGTGACAAAGGAGGTGAGTCCCCAAGTGACCCCTCTCCTGTGCTCATTTGCACCTGCCCGCCACAGCCAGGGAGCATCTAACCGAGCGCAGAGAAGCAATGAAGGCAGGGTGGGCTGCCATTTATGAGTGTGCATTGATCTCATTCTCTTCCAGCTTCTCACATTTTGTAGGAATGAGGCACTTCTGTTCCAAGTGCTGCTTTCTTTCCTACTGGGCCTTGTAGCTCGCAGAGGGCAGGCTGCGGGTTTCTCTGTGGTTCCCACCGCTGCTTGGTGTTTATGTCCAGGAACCCTTGATGACTACTGATGTGCTGTGTTAGTCTGGGAGGGTTGCTGGTCCCTGACTGGAAGCTTTACCAATAGCAATTTATCGTTTCACAGTTCTGGAGGCCAGAGCCCTGAGGTCAAGGTGCCTAGAGTGTTAGTTCCTATTAAGGGTGGTAAGGGAAGGGTCTGGTATAGGACGCTGGTCAAGCTCTCTCCTTGGCCTGCAGAGGGCCACCTTTATGTTAACGCATGTGCCTGTCTGTTTCCAAATTTTCTCTTCTTATTAGAACACGTTTATGTTGGGGCCCATCCTAATCACCTCAGGTTAACGCAACTGTTTCTGTAAAGACTATCTTCAAATAAGGTCACATTCACAGATATGTGGGTTAGGGTTTTGTCATGTGAATTGAAGGGGGTGGGGTACAATTCAACTTTTAATGGTCAGCAAGAACTGGCTGTGGCTGTGAGCTGTCTTTGGCCAACATCAAGCCAAAGCAAAGAAAGGAATCTGGGAGTGAAGGACACAAGAGAGAAGGAAGAGCAGAGGAGAAAAGAGGGACATGCAGGGTCTTCGATGGAGGGATGTCGTCCCATTCCCACACTTAGTGCAAACTGACCCCTGCTGCAGGGGCAGGGATGGGCTACAGGTGGATTTGTGAAATGCATCTCACAGGGGTGACTAAGGCCCTGGCCCCTTGACAACGCCTCACGTGTCAAGCGTTGCTGAGAACAGAGGGGTAGCCACGCTCCTCTGAAGTTGTGCCAGATGCTGAAAATACTGGCAACTGCAGAAAGTCTGCTTTGGTTTCCTTATAAGCTTGAAAAGCAAGCGTGTCCTTGTCAAGAGATGATTTGCTAAATAAGTACTTTTATGAAAGAAAGACCTCCCAGATTAAATCTCCCTAGGTTTTTCTGCACAGAAAGTAGACTCCAGACTGACAACAGGTGTCACTGGGAAACAAGTCTGGCAGGCTTCAGGACGTCACCCCGTCCTGTGTCCTTGTGGCTACTTTCCATTGCTCTGGCCTTTGCTTTCACCGGTTTGCCCAGTGTGCTGAGCAGGAAGCACCTAGAGGGAGGAGAGGCCTCAGTTCTGCATTCCTAGATGGGGAATAAACTGGCTTTCCTGCCCTCCTGTCTTCAGCTGTCCATTCTTTCTATGGCCCAGGACTCTCCCTCTCTTAGCTGCAGTCACTGCTGGGTGGGGCTGGGGGGTGGATGTGCCCTCATTCAGTCCCCAGTCTGAGCCCTGGACCAGCAGGCAGCACAGAGGCATAAGCACCTGGTCCTCCATTCTCACTGGAGAGGAATGCACTGGGGCCCCAACACACCCAGTTCAGGAAACAGCATCCTCACCCTTTACCATCAATAGAAGAATATCAGGCATGCTGGGTGTGAAATAAGGGGCTTTGTGTTTTTAGGGGAGACAGGCTGGGTGGGTAGCAGGAAGGATATTTCTGATGCTGTGTAGATTTCCCTGCAGTTGCAGTTCATTTCTGTTCTCTCTAGGTCTACACAGTGTGGATAATGGGATTTTAATATTTGACAAGGTTCTGATGCCAAAGGAGAACCTGCAGGACAAGTGAATAGTTTTCTCCTAAATGACTGTGCAGATGATCCGGTTTCTACCAAGTGATGTTGGTTCTTGGGTTTTGTGAGCTGCAGGGCCAGAGATCTCCCCACCTCCTCCTAAAATTTACTGACAACACATTTTGAAAGATAGAAAAGCAAACAGGCAAAAAGTTAAAATTCTCCAATGTGCTTTTTTCCAGATATGATAATTATTAGACTTTATGTCTCTCCAGACTTTTTCCCTTGCCAACATATCTATGGGAGAGGTAGCTTAGATGTTTTACCAAAAGAGATCCACTTTTAGATGCTATTTTTTAGCCTTATAATTTATATTTACCATTACATAGCAAATGTTTTTATGCAACAATGCACACACATAGGTACTATCATTTTTAATAGCACCACAAAAGTCTGTTGAATAAGTGGGCTCTAAGTTAAGTAATCAACCCCTCATTGTTGGGCTTTTAGGTTGTTTCCTTTTTCTCCCCAATTTTAAACTGATGAGTGTGGTTGCCTCCTTTGTGGGTGGCCAGGATTAATACATCTCCCTACAGCTTTGGAGGCTGTTAAACCATTACTGCTTGGAGGAATAATCCTGAGGTGCTTGGTATCATTTCCCAGCATCTCTCAGTGAAGCCAAGGTGAGTTCAACAATGAGGGGAAGGTTGCTTTCTCAGGTGTGTTCAGGGATGGAGGTCCAGGGGTTAATTAATGATGTTTCTTGCAGAGCCTAAGAAACAACAATTATCTTTGATTTTTCCTAGGAGTGGTTCATATATCCTCTGAAAATCCTGAACCACAGTCATGTTTAAATCCTAGGCAAAGCCAGAAATTAGGGTGAAAATAAACAGTTCTCTCTCCCTGCCTTCCTGTTGGTTTTTCTTAAGCACTTTACTCCTTTTTTGTCTTTGTTGCCTGCAAGTTCTTCTCAGCAGATAAATGTGGGGATGCTAAAAATTTGAGAAAAATATATGGGAAACAAACTTAGAATGGATCAAATTCTATTTACTTTTCTGCCCTGTGAGTTGGTAAGAAATAGAACAGAAACAATCAAAGCATGTTTGCACTTAGCCTGAGGAAGCTCCCTAGACCCTTTCGGTAGCCACCAGTATCCATGAAAGCAGGTTTGAGGACCACCCACCCTCCCTAGAGATGTCTGTACATTCCCAGACACCTGTGAGCATCACCCACTCTGGGGCAAGTGGGGAACTCTCTGTACCCCACCTCCCCCAAGGAGATCTTAGTGGCTTGGCTGGTGCTGTGTCACAGGCTGGACCAAGGCTGAGTGTTTTTCCAATGCACTAGAGAGTAGAAATTTAGATTTAAGGAGAGGGAAAAATGATAGGGAGCTGCTTTGCTCATAGAAGACATATATATATATAGAGTCTTTCTTTGATAACATTTGATTTTTACATCATTTCATTGGCATTTAGCTCCCCCGACCCCCATGCTATATAGACCAACAATGGCAACACAGGGGTTTTGAGGTTTGAGGAAGGAGCCTCACTTATGGAGCTTTGGTTCACCACCGGATAAAAAGTGAGCCAGTCAATACTTTTTACTACCTTCTCTCTCTCTCTCTCTCTTTTTTTTTTTACAGAAATAATGAACTAATTCTAAAATTCCTAAGGAAATATAAGAAATCCAGAATAACCACAACAGTTTTTATAAAGAACAAAATACGAGAACTCACACTTGTGATTGAAAACTTACTATAAAACTGTTGTTATCAAGATTGTGTGGTATTTGTGTAAAGATAGATATAAGAACAATGGAATAAAGAGTCTAAAGATAAATCCTCACATTTATGGTCAAGTAATATTCCTCTAGAGTACCCAAACAGTTTAACGAGGGAAGAATAGTATTTTCCACACATGGTGCTGGGACAACTGGATATTCAAGGGCTGGGGATGTAGGTCAGTGGTAGAGCACTTGCCCGGCATGTGTGAGGCCTTGGGTTCCATCTGTAAAGGCATGAATTTGGAACCACACTTCACACCATATACAAAAATTAACTCAAAGTGATCTCAACCTAAATGTATAAGCTGAAACTCACAACTCTTTGAAGAAAGATTTAAATTTTTGGATTCTTGATTTAGGCACTGGTTTATTAGATGTGATGGCAAAAGCATAACCAACTAAAGAAGGTAGACAAATTGAACTTCATCAAAATTTAAAAAAATATTTTATGTGTCAAAGTACCCTATAAAAAATGTAAAGTACAATCCAAGGAGTGGGAAAATATTTGTAAATCAGATACATTGTAAGTATACAACATCTAGAATATAAAAGGAACTATTATAGCTGAACAACAGCAAGATAAAGAGCCCAATTAAAAAGTGAACAGAAATCTGAATAGACATTTCTCCAAAGAAGATACACCAATTACTAGTAAATACATGAAGAATGTCCAAGATCTTTATTATTAGGAACATACCAACCAAAATCACAGGAAGAATTATTCTATACCCAGAAAGATGGCTATAATAAAAGAGAGACTTCCAATTGTTGATGAGGATGTAAAGAAATTAGAACCATCACGTATTACTGGTGGTGATATAAAATGTCACAAATTTGAAAAACCTCTTAGTGTTTCCTCAAAAGTTTGAAGTTACCGGATAACAGCTGTTCTGCTCCTAGGTTTATGTAAGAACATTGCCCACAAGGTATTTGAAAATATATATCTACACAAAAACTTGTGTTCAAATGTTCACAGCATAATTATTCTTAATATTCAAAGAGCGAAAACAACCCAAACTTCCATCACTTGTCAATTGATGAGTGGATAAATAAAATCTGGTATATTCCTGAAGTTAAATATTATCAGTCCATAAACAGAAATAAAGTACTGGCATGTGCTGCATCATAGATGAACTTTGAAATCACTATGCTAACTGAAAGAATCCAGACATAAAGAGGGCATATTATGTGATTTCATCTCTGAGAAATGTTGAGAATAGGTAAATCCATGGAGAAAGTAGATTAAGAGGTACCAAGGACTGGAAGGTGAGGTTTATGGGGAGTGACTGCTCATGGTTCTTTGGGAGGTGAAGAAATTTTTTGAATTAGCAGCTGTTATGGTTTGTGTCTGGATGTCCTCCCAAAGCCTCATGCGATCATGTGGGGCAGGCTTTTTGGAGGTGGCTGAATCTAGAGTTTATGATTGATTTATGGTCCAGTGCTGGGATTATGGGTGTGAGTGCTACACCCACCCTGGGGAGGGTAGCCTGCATCCAATATAAGCAAGGGAAAGAGGCTTGCCCTCTCTGTTCCACTCTTTTTGATCTTGTTGCTCTTGCTGTTTTCTGCTGCCATGAACTACTACCCTCTACCATATGCCCCTCTGCCTTGGAGCCAGCCAAGTATGGACTGAAACCTCCACAAACTCTGAACTAAACAAACCTTTCCTTCTTTAAATCTGGGCATCAGGTATTCTGTCCCAGTAAGAGAAAAGTAACCAAGACAGCTATAGTGGCCATACAACTTGGTGCGAATATACTAAAAACCACTGAACTGAATGAATGAATTTACAGGAATGAATTCTATGACATGTGAATTACGTCTCCATTTAAAAGAGGGCTAGTGTGTGCTTTGCACAGCGAGCTCCAATACTGGTGTAATGATGATGGTCCTCATGTCTCAGGGGCCAAAGCTGAGCGCCAGATTGGTGGTGGCAGAAAACCTACTCTTACCTACCATGAGTCCAGCCTTTCTCCGCATTTCTTGGGGAGGAACCCACAAAGGGGAGTTCATACAGCATAATCTGGCTTCTTTCACTTAGTATAATGTCTGTAAGGCTCATCTAGGTTGTAGCATGTATCAGTACTGCATTCCTTATTATGGTTGAATAGTACCCCATTGTATGAATATGGTTGATTTTGCTTATCCTTTCAGCAGTTGATGAATGTTTGGGTTGTTTCCACTGGGGGAATACTACGAATACTATTCCTAATTATGCTAGGAATCAAGCCTTTCTTGGTGAAAGTACTTTCCCCTACCCTTACTCTGCTCTCTGTCTCACTGGAGAGGTCTCAGGAGGTGGAAATCTGCACACTTCCCTGAGTGCCCACCTGACTTCATTTCTAGTGGTGCCATGTCTATTTTTTCTTAAATCTAACCTTTTTTTCCAATTTGGCTTGATTTCCACAGATTTGGTTTCACAGCTCTAGATAAACAGGAGCTTTCACCAATTATAGCCAAGAGCACAAGGCTCAATCAATGACGGCAGCACTAATCCCTTTGAGATTAGCAGTGACTTCCCAAGCTATCGGTGCCATGAAGGTAGCTGACTCTGACTTTAATTGATGTTCACACTGTTTATTCTCTGTGTGTTCTGAGGATGGGTACAATGTCAGAAACGGAGCTTCATGAGCCACAGTTAGTGTAATGTGGTTACATGCCAGGGCAAGCAGTTCACCATATGCACAGAACATTTCTGCATCCTTCTTAAGATAGTATTCCATCCATGTGCTCCCCAGATGTGTGCTGTTATCACGGTAGGTGGAGCATGGGCATTGTGGCGATACAGCCACACAAGATGACCCAGAGAGACTGGGCTGTTCAGGATGAACACATCTGCTGGAAAGCAGTGAAGAACTAG